CTTTTGTGAAAATCTTTAACACACTTGAGAGTGTACGAACTGCGAAAGTGAAATCGAAGTACTGAACAACGTGAGTGTCACTCTTAGTCACGAGAGAACTTGCCTGTCATTCCTCTTTCGTGACGACGACTCAATTTCATTTTATTTTTTAGCAGTAACGTTCCAGGAGACGAATTATATTACCTTTATGCCAAGTATTACTTTGTTATAATTTCAAAAAATATATTCCTCAAATATAAAATAAATCTAGGAAATATTTCGATATTTAGATGTGTGTCTCTTGTTTCAACGTAACTGAAAGAGAAATGATTGACAGAAATTACACGGAAGCTCTTTGAACGTATGTGTAAATAATGAGACGCTAACTTACGAGCTTCAACAAACGACGAATCTGACGTTCATGTTTATTTAGAAAACCAAGGCACTTTATCGCGGTTCTTTGCCAGACCGCTTCGAAGACACTGATTTACATAAACGAGACGTCCGCGCGACGCAACCTTCTGTCGACGCGGTTAAATTTACATGAGAATCAGCGAATAACCTACCGCAAATTTTTGAATCGTCATCGATTCGACGTGAGGTGAAACGCGAGACGACGAAGATACCTTTCGCTTGCGATACTGACGAGATCAATATTTTTTCATACTGTTGAACAATTTCGTTACGTCAATCATTACTTTTGAACGAGTGTAATGTATTTCCTACTACGTTGCATGTTTCGACATTCAAGCGGCGATGCATTGACAAATGACACAGTAATTATGTTAAATTACAAAACATAGCGATTAATTTTGGAAAAATTTAAACCTTCGTAGGCCAAGCCAAGTTGCTCGTGTAATTTTTTTACTGTTCTAAATTTTTGAAAAAATATGAAAACAATTTTGGGCTTTTAAGTCAAGACCTCTAGAGAATCTTTTGGAAAGAATAGAAAAGTTTGTACAGAAGAGTTTCCGCTCGGTCCAAAGATCCAAATTGCTTGCAGCAATAAAATTAAGTTGAAAACTCTAAAATCAAAATTGCTTTCACCTTCAACGTCCAATGATACCAGTTAAAGTCGAAGTAGTCTATCAGATCACATTGCGGCCAGAAAAAAGTAGAACGAACTGTTACTCGACGAACTTTCAACGAAGGATGCTCATCTAGCCGCATTACTTTCATGTGAAATTGTCGAAGATTCGAGCTTACACACTACGAAACTGAAATATTGGTTGCTTCTTTCGCGTAAATATTTCTAAGGATTGATCTTCCGGCGACGGAAGTTGGACGCGACCGCGGCACACGCGAAACTGTCCCGGCGACATATTCTAGTCAAACATTTTAAAACTCGAACGTTATCAGCACTTCGCGACTTGCACAGACGGCAGCGATAGCGTTCAGCGTGTTTCGACCGTGTTCTCAAATATTTAGTTATGTAACTGGGCTGGTACGATAATCAATGACGAACTACGGTCGCATTTCAACAGTCGCTGTTTAACTTTTCCTCGTCGAAACAAGAGGGTCGAAGAAGAAATAATGTACATTACGTGTTATTGATTTTACATCGAGAAATGGAAATGACGAAAAGAGTAAAAGTTCTTTGAAGACAATGGCAAGAACAAAGTTGTAAGAACATGATAATGTATACGAATGAATGTATTTGTTGAATAATTCGATAAGTTTTTTACGATTTATTCTCCTCTGTATATTCCTTTGGTATTTCTCTCAATATAATATTGTTTACTTGTATAAACGACGAAGTCGAGAAAAAAATTATTGGCAATGATAAATCGTGCGATTTTCAATATACGTGCAATTATTATTTACACAAGCGAGCGAACAATATGCGGTGGAACTCGTGATATTTAGCAATATTGGCAAATTGAAAATCAGCTCGTTAAGAATCGGGTAATGAATAACTGTTGTTGAAGAAATGGAAATTGATTTCAACAGTTTGACACTGTTGCACGCGATAACGTTATAAAATTCGAAAAATATAATTAAAATATAGTCGTTCGAATCCTTAGTACATTAAACGTAATCCTTAATCCTAGTTAATTAGAATATGTTTTTCTAATTTTCTATAAAATTCGTCAACGTAAACTGACACAAAAAAAGCTGCAGGATTAAAGAAAACGTAATGCTCGTTTAATTACTATCTCAATATTATGAAATTTGCAGTGTAAAACGATGCATATACATATACATTAACGTTTTAATGAAACACGTCGTGAACCACAATTCAACGTTTCAGTATACAAGTTTTAATGTTTTCTTAATAATCTCTGGCTCGTGAAGTTGCTAAATATCCGGAAGGTAAAAAGTGTGCTGTGTGGAATGCATGCAATTTTCCCCGTTTGTATTTATTCGCACTGACACATGTATACGTGCGCTAATTACGAGTGGTTTACATTACATCAAATAACAGATTTTACCTCGTGTAAGAAAAGTTTCAATAATGATGACGCGTAACAACGCAATGCTCCTTTCCTTCTCTTTCTCATATTGGACAAATTCTACGATAATTAAGATTCCCTTTAAAAATATATTTCAGTTACAGTAATATAAGATTTTCTTCAAACGATGTACAAGTACATCCAATATATTTTTTGAAGAGTAAAATTTTCTGAAAATTCTTGCAATCAAAGTGCATTGCAATTACGTAGTTTGAATATTGATTCTAATCTAACCTGTTTGCTTCTAACAAATCTAACAAACATTGCATTATTGCAAT